ATTTTGACATATATTTATATATTTTGTATAATCTATATTTATATATTTTGTATAAATCCATATTCTTTTATGGATATTTATATATTATATTTATGTGTGTAAATATGTATGTATTTTATACACACATACATACACACACATTTTTTTTTCTTTTTTTGAGGCAGGGTTTTGCTCTGTCACCCAGGTTGGAATGCAGTGGCATGTTCATGGCTCACTACAGCTTTCACCTCCTGGGCTCAATCAATCCTCCCACCTCAGTCTCCTGAGAAACTGGGACTGCAGACATGTGCCATCATGCCTGGCTAATTTTTCTTTTTTGTAGAGATGGGGGTCTCACTATGTTGCCTAGGCTGGTCTTGAATTCCTGGCCTCAAGCGGTCCTCCTGTCTCAGCCTCCCAAAGTGTTAGGATTACAGGCATGAGCCACTGCACCCAGCCAATAGTTATATTTTCATTATAGGTTGGACCCTCTGTGTCTCATCTCAAGCTTTTAACCTTGAATTCAATAAACAAAAAACACCCTGAATTTGTTGTCATTATTTGCATTTGCCTGATCTACTTTATTAGTTCACTATATATATAACATATATACACATATATGTTATATATATATTTGTGTGTATGTGTGTATATATATATTTTAGACAAGGTCTTGCTCAGTCACCCAGGCTGGAAGGCATTGGTGTGAACAGGGCTCACTGCAGCCTTGACCTCTCAGGCTCAAGCGATCCTCTCCCCTCAGCCTCCTAAGTAGCTGGGACCACAGGCATATGCCACCATGCCCGGCTAATTTTTAAAAATCTTTTTGTAGAGGTGGGGTCTTACTATGTTGCTCAGGCTAGTCTTGAACTCCTGGGCTCAAGTCACCCTCCTGCCTTAGCCTCCCAAAGTGCTGAAATTACAGGCGTGAGCCACCATGCCTGGTGACTTTTAATATTTCTGAGTCACATTGTTTTAGGTTTGTCATTTGAGAGCACATGGCTGAAGATTTTTTTTGATCCATTCTGAGTCCTTTCCTTTTAAAAGACGAATTTTATCCAGTTACATTTATTTTTAAAACACATGTTTGATCTTGCCTCTATTATACTATTTTGTTTTCTGATTTTATGTTTTCTTGTTGCTTCTTTTTTCCTCCATCTTTTGCTGTGAGATCTCTGTTTTTCCTTTAAAAAAAAATCCCTCAGCAATTTGGAAAGGATATAGTTTGCTTTCTGTTAAACAAGTTTACAACTTTAAATAACACACTCAGATTTCTCTTTTTCTCAATATATCATTGACGTGGTTTTTTAACAACAGAGCTTGGCTGTCTACCCTGATTAGATTCACCAGATGCTTGCCAAAACTCCTCCTCACTTATGCCAAGCTGAGCTTTCCCTCCACAGCCCAGACGAAATGGCTCTGGCTGCCCTTGTTTGTGGCTGTTTAAAAACAAAACTCGTTAACATATTGTCAAACCATCTTTCTCTGAAGCCTACAGAGATTTGGCTCTAGCTGCCAATGGTAAAACAGCAGGCAGGCTGCAAGTCATGGCTCCAGGCCCATTCTGGAACAGGGGCGGGGCAGCACGGGGTCGGGTGGGAGGCCCAGAGGTTTCCAAGTGACAGCCACAGTGCCTCCCCATGGCCTAACCCCACAGGAGGAGGCAGCATGGAATGGAGGCACATAGCTTTGCATCAAAGTGCCCTTTCTCTCACTCTGTGGTCTAAAGCATTCTGTTAGTTGCTCATCTATGGGGTTCTCACCTCCCCTGCAATACAGGCTTTCCCTGGTCCAGCAAAGTTTCCACAGGCTCTTACTTCCCCTGGTCCAGCAAAGTTTCCATGTCTCTCTTTTTTTTTTTTAAGACTGAGTCTCACTGTGTCCCCCAGGCTGGAGTACAGTGGCATGACCTCGGCTCACTGCAACCTCTGCCTCCTGAGTTCAAGTGATTCTCATGCCTCAGTCTCCCCAGTAGCTGGGATTACAGGCACCCGCCACCACACTTGGCTAATTGTTGTATTTTTAGTAGAGATGGGGTTTTGCCATGTTGGCCAGGCTGGTCTCGAACTCCTGACCTCAGGTGATCCCTCGGCCTCCCCAAGTGTTGGGATTACAGGTGTGAGCTACCGCGCCTGGCTGTCTTCTGCCTTCTTAATCACCCCTCTCCCTGCTTCACCAGCATCTTTCAGAACCCCCTTCAGGGCTCTTCCATCTCTTCCGGGAAATGCTCTGAGAGATTAGAGTGTCGTGCCTGGGAGCCAGATGGGGCAACCCTGGAGGGCCTCACTGCTCCTCCTGGCTTCAACACCTCCCTGCTCTCCACAGTTCAGCTCTATCTGCTCCCTCCAGGGAGACTACCCTGATTGCTCCACCTTCTCTGACCTCCCATCACCCTGATTGGGTGTTTCTGAGGCCAGGGCTGAGGCCTCCTCCTGTGGCTCCCACATGGCTGAATACACAGAACTAGATACAAAGAGAGCTTAGAAGACTGACCGAACAAATGAGAGGTCAAGACAAAGGACTCTGGAATCTGACTGCTTGGGTTCAAATACCAGATCTGTGGTTCCTGAGTGGTGGGACCTTGAGCAAGTTACTTAATGTTTCTACAAAGAGTTGTCATGGGGATTAAACGTCACCATGTGTGAACTACAGGGCGCAGCCTCCAGCCTGAAGACATGGACTCAGTGGAGCCAGCACTGTACTATGAGCCAGCGTGGTTAACTGCACTGTGACAGCTTGACCGAACACTGATGCTGTGTGCAGGTGGGTGTGTCACCAGAGCTCTGGTGTAGGAGGCTGGTGATCTGGGGCAAATCATTTCTCTTTTGTGGAACAAAGACGAAGGCCTGGACACATGCCCTCTGCGAGCCCTTCCTGCTCTGGCTTCCATATGTGCCGTGGGTGTTGAGAGTTTGTGAGCTGTTCCCTGCTCTCGGGGGCTGGGGAGCACATTTTCAGCAGAGGCTCTGCCCCAGTTTCTGATCTGACTTTCCAGCTGGAGACCTCCTTTCCCTGCCCTCCCCTCCTCCTCCAGCCGTCCCTGCCCCAGCCCTGCATCCCCAGGAGGGTACCAGCGCTCCACTGCTGAGCAGGATCATGAAGATGATGAATGTCTCGAACCAGCTGTGCTCCACGATGTGGTAGCAGGTCTTGCGCAACCGCCACCAGACCTTCCCTGGGGCCTGCGAGGTGTCCACCGCACAGCAGGGACAGCGCCGGACACAGCCTATGGGAGAGGGTGAGGGTCAGGCCCAGCTCAGGACCTGTGAATGCCCACGTCTAATGGCAGAAGGTTGAATGGTTGAAGAGATGACTGACAGAAAGAGCTATGATGGTGGGGGTGGCGAACAGGGCAATATGGTGAGCAGGGCCGTGTAAGCGAGGGCCGTGGGCACCACCCATGGGGGCTGCACACTCTGCAGACACCCTGTGAGGAGGATGGATGGACTGAGCACCCAGTGAGTGGGTGAATAGCCTGGCAGGCCTGGGCAGGGACAAGGCTGGGCTGGGATAGGTTCCAGCTTGTCTGCTGCTCATCTGGAAAACTGTCCCCCTGGGGAAATGATAGGAACTCCTGGGCATTCCCTGGGCCTTCTCCATGTTTGTAGTTTCTGAGCCTTGGGAAGGGCAGACCCCTAAATGAGAGCCCCCCATGGATGTGTCACATGGAGGGCAAGCTCTCATTTTTTTTCTCTCTCTCTTTTTTTGAGATGTTTCACTCTTGTTGCCCAGGCTGGAGTGCAATGGTACAATTTTGGCTCACTGCAACCTCCGCCTCCTGGGTTCAAGTGATTCTCCTGCCTCAGCCTCCCGAGTAGCTGGAACTGCAGGTGCCCGCCACCACGCCCAACTAATTTTTTGTTTTTTTAGTAGAGACGGGGTTTCACCATGTTGGCCAGGCTGGTTTTGAACTCCTGACCTCTGGTCATCCATCCGCCTTGGCCTCCCATGGTGGGGATTACAAGCGTGAGCCACCACGCCCAGCCAAGCTCTCATTTTATCCCCAGTTACCCTCCAAATATACCACCAATCCATAAAAACTATAGATGCCAGTCAGCATGGCCACATGTGTCATACCTGCCTCAAGGATTTACAGAGGGCCTACTATGTGTCAGGCACTGTGCCAGGGCCTGGTGGTACAGGAGCGAATTAGACCCAGACCCTGCTGCTGTGGGGCACACAGTGATGCTAACACACCAGAAACACAGTGTTTCCAGTCCTTGGTGCAGCTGTCCAGCCCAGCACTCCGTAGGCAGACACGTCAGGCAGATGGAGGAACCCCCAGCCTAGCAGAGGAATGGAGGAGGTAGGCAGATATCTAAGGCAGGGTGTTGGTGCCACGTGGCCCTGGGCTCCGAAGAGCTGCTGGTCCTCCTGTCCCCTCTGGGTGGAACTGAGACTGGGGCAGAGGGTTGCCCGGGCCGTTACCTTCGGTGAAGCAGTCCTCTGGATCCTTGACATCCTGGCCCAGGTCAGGGATCTGCTCCAGGAGCTCAGCGGTGTTGGTCATGTCTGCTGTGCTGCCCTCGGAGCCACTGTCCTCTTGGGTCTGTGGACAAGGGTGTGGGGCAGGGTGGGAAAGGGTGTGAGTGTGGGCTGAGTAGCAGCCTTTGGCCTCGAGCCCAGAGTCTGAAGGAGCTTGGGGCTCCCTAAAGGGAGGCAGCATCTTCATGACGCACCCTGGGACCTGCCACGGAGCCCCCTTTGGCCGGTCAGGGCTGGGCCAAGGCTGGACCTGGGAGCTCCCGGGTCTGTGATTCTGGTCTGCTGGAGTCTGGGGTTAGGGTGTGGGGGCTGTGAAAGGGGTCTGGGAAGCCACTGGGGATGGGGACTGCATCTAGCTGGGAGCAAAACAGACATGGGGTAGCAACATGGACACACGGTGGGACATAGACACATTGTGGTGGCATGGCACGCACAGTGGAAAAAGGCATGCCACATCCAGAACAAGTCAGAACCCGGATCCCGGGCAACACACAGGCAGCAAAGTCAGACTGCAGAGAACAGGCCAGCAAACCCACCCACATGTTTTGCCCAGTTCCCGTGGGTTCTGGTGTGCTGGGCAGAGCCTGGAGACTGGGAAGGTGATGGAGCCCTCCACTTCCTGTCCTTGTAAGTCTGCTGCCTTGACCTCAATAACTTGATTATAGGGAGGCCTCAGAGAGGCATTGTGCATGCAGGTGTGCCCTCGTGAGTGTCCGTGTGTGTCACTTGTGGGTGTGGGTGTGGAGGGGTGTTACAGGGGCCACTGTGGGTACCCTGCCCAATTCCATTGCATGAGACTAGTGCACCCATTCCCAGCCACTGTGAACACTAGCTGCTCAGCTGGCCCTCCTCCAGAAAATCATCTTCAGCTGGGGGCTGCCGTCCCGAGGGGTGGCCACTGCCCAGCAGCCACTGATACAGGAATACAGAAGGCCAGCCCCTAGCCTTGAGCTGGGACAATGCTGTGGTGCAGTTCATGCCCCAGAGCTCTACTTGGGACAGGATGAGGCTGACTCCAGCTGGAAAGCCCTTCCGTAGCTTCCTCCTTTGCCTCATCCCGTTTCTCTTACTTTCTCATGGGTTTCTCCTGAGAACACCCTCAACAACTCATTTGCACAGGAATCCCTCTGCTTCTAGGGAACGGGACGTAAAGATGGGTATGTTGGGGGAAAATCCATCATTCCCTTCAGGTCAGGTCCAAAGCCCCCACCTTGGCTGCCGCCACCTCACATCAGCTCAGGCCCAGGCTCCATTTAGAGAGGGGCTTGTCTGAATTCCTGGGCATGGCTATGCTCCTACGGCTGCCTTCTTTCTTTTCTTTTCCTTTGATGAATCAATCTGCTGATGCCTCAGGGGCTTCTTTTCCATTTTTGAGATCTGTGATGGGAAAGGGATGGATTCTGGAGGGAAAACAGAGCCTACTGCTCAGTGCAGGTGGATCCTTGGCCAGAGAGATGGGGCTCAGCCTTTCGTGGTTCCCCGTGGCTTTGAGGGTTCCTTCCCCTCTCCTCCCAGCTCAGTTAGGGGATGAAAGGAGTTGGGGGATGAAAGAGGCAGGCCAGAGGAGAGCAGCATGCTTATTTTTTCTTTCCAAACACTGGAGCTGTCTGAAGTCCATGGGGCTGTCATGTGAGAGGACATGTTCTCAGGTCCTACTGCAGGTGAGACGAGGGAGTCCCTTTCCCAGGAAAACTCCAGCCTATCTCTCCCTTATATAGGCTCCCCCATGAATTGATTTGAAGGAAGACTTTTAAAATTCATTCAAAGGTTAGCATCCGTGTGAGAGCCTCTTCTCTCCCATGACATTCTGCCTCTCTCCTGTGTCTTCCTGTCCCCACGTGCCTTCACGGCTCAGACCATCAAGTGGAGAACCGTGATCTGCACAGTCAGGAAGATGACTCTAGTAGGCCCTTGTGCTCCAAAAACTGACCATGCTTGCAAAACTTACATGGGCCCATCTCACAAAAGAGGAAAAGGCACAAGTGCTGCACTGAGTGAGGTCGGGCTGCAGGACAGTGGCCACCAAGCATTCTGAACATGTGCCCTCCACCTTCTGTGGGCTAGATGTGAGTGAGGCTGGGCGGCTTAGTCAGCAATGCCACCAGCCTCTTGCTCAGGGGTTGCAAACTCCAGTGCTTACAGAATCAGGCAGGTAACAAAATGCAGTCAGGCAGGTGGCTCTGTGGCAAACTAGAGAACTCCAGCCAGCATCCAGGAGGTGGCTCTCACTTGCCTCTGGCAGGGTGGCACGTCTTCTGATTCTTCAAGAGAAGCCGGAAATGCAGATTTTTACATAAAAGCTCCCAATTTTTAAATAGTGGCAGCTAATTTAAAGTAAAACCTTTCTGTGGCCAGATCAAAATGCAGTGGTAGGCTGGGTGGGCCTCCCACTTGTGGCCTCTGCTTTGGTGCAGATAAGAAGCTGCTGGTGTGCAATGTGCTCATTCTCAGAGCTCCCTGAAGTCTTCTTTGTTCTTTGTTTTTGTTTTTGAGACAGGATCTCCCTCTGTCACCCAGGCGGGAGTGCAGTGGTACAATCTTGGCTCACTGCAATCTCCACCTCCAGGGTTCAAGTGATTCTCAGGCCTCAGCTTCCTGAGTAGCTGGGATTACCAGGCGTGCACCACCATGCCCAGCTAATTTTGGTATTTTTAGCAGAAACGGGGTTTCACCGTGTTGGCCAGGCTGATCTTGAACTCCTGACCTCAAGTGATCCACCTGCCTTGGCCTCCCAAAGTATTAAAATTACAGGTGCGAGCCACTGTGCCCAGCCTCCTGAAGTCTTTGGATGAGGAGATTCACAGGACAAACATTTGCCAAACAGGACCAAAACACAGGGATGGAGTGTGTGGAGAAGGTGAACACATGGAGGTAGTGGGTTAGTACTGCATCAGAGTTTGGGACCAGAATTTCCAGAATTTCCCCTTGGCCTTGGGCCCTGCACCATCTCCCCCCTGTCAGGAGAGGGATGCCCGCTCTCCCCTCTGCAGACTGGTCTTCCACGCTGCCTGTGACAGTGGCTGTGGCTCCCAACAGCAAATGCAGGCGTGCACCTCTCACAGCCTGGCTCTGAGCCAAGCAGCAGTGCCCCGCCGGCTTCATGGACAAAGGCATGCATTACCTCACCACACCCTGGGGCCTGGGGTTCCGCTTTCCGCTGCTGCTGCTGCCAGTCAGCCTGAGATACACTGGCCTCGGCCTCGGAGGAGGCAGTCGCTGACACCTGGCTCCAGGTCCTGGAATCCGGAGGGGCCTCTGGGCCAGCGGACACAGGCTGGGATTCCTGCTGAAAAGACCCCAGCCTATGAGCTGAGTCCACACACCCAGCCAGAAGGTCTCCAGGTCCCTGACCCTGGGGGTTTCAGACCCTGCCCGTGCATCTCGGTCACTGCCTCCAGCTCTCTTCATGGGGCCTCCATCTCACTGAAGACCCCTCCCTCAGGGGGCCTGAGCAGGCAGGTGGGAGGTTCCTGGTAGGTTCAGGCAAAGGGCCTAGAGCCAGACGAAGCCCCTGGCCAGCCTGGCGTAACTCCCCCTCCCCAGACTCCCTGGAAGGGTGCAGCTGGGCCGCGATGGCCAGCTCACAAATGCTGGCCACTGTAGGAAGGGCACATTGACTTCCCTCGTAAGTCCCCGTGACACTCTCAGATGAGAACACACACACATCCCCCAGAGAGCCAGAGTCGACGGGCTCAAGAGAAGGAACGGAGGAGGGAAAGCAGAGGCAGCTGGAATTCCCCTCCGTGCTGGAGATCATTGGAAACTGTGGTCTTGGCAACACCAACACGCCCCCTCCCTGAGCAGACATTACCACTGCCCCACAACCTGATTGAAAGGGTGGCCTCTGGGACCACAGGGAGGCTGGAGGACGTGAAACCAAGCCCAGAGCCTTAGATCAAGTTTCACACATGGGGAGCCGCTGCTCTCCACAGCCAGGCCCACCCAGTGCAGGCCCAGAGGAAGCAGCCAAGATGGGCCGGACTCAACAGGGAGAACACTCCTGGGGGCTTGACCTAAAGCCCTAAGGAGAAGCCATCTGAGCCTGGCTCAGGCCAAGGGAAAATGGAGGGGAGGGGAGGGGTGGGCCCTGCCTGCTTTGTGCAGACTCTGGTCCCCAGTGTTAAAAATAACAGGTTGGGAGATAAGATAGTGCTGTCCCTGACACCTCAGTCTTAGGGATGCTTATTTTTAAATCTCAGAATGAGCCCTGGCCGTGGGAGGAGGGGAAGGGGCAGTCTGGAGGTCAGAACACTGTAGTTCTCCTTCACCAAGACACTACCTTGCCAGTCCTGGAGGGGGACAATGGTCAGTGTGGGGACTGGGGGCTACAGGCACTGTTCTAAACTCATGAGGAACACCTAGCAAGTCTCTCTTGCCATGCCTCAGTCTCCCTGTCGTACAATGAGCTCCCCATGCCCAGCCAGGGCGTGAGTGGTGGACAGCAGCGCCTCCCCAGGTCAGCTTCTGGACTGAGTTAGGAAGAGAGGGTTGAGGGCTGGTCTCAGCACCGCTCTGAGAGGCTGGCTGTTGTGCGGAGGGCCTGCCTTCTACCCCTACCCACTGCCAAGGCAGTCTGGCAGAGGCAGCCGCTTTGAGTGAGGCTGGGTGGCCCGGACAGCAGAGCTCCGGGCCCTGTATATACATGCAGGGGTGGGGGCCCACCTGCTTGCTGGACTCCTCCTCCGTGTCCAGGCTGTTCTCCTCATCCTCTTCCTGGTCATCTGTGTCTGACTCGGCCACAGCGATGGGCACACACACAGGCTCTGGATCCCTGGGGGTGCCCTGACCCGGCTGCTCGCCTTCCTCAAACCGTGTTTCCTTGCGGGTGGGAGGCACCTTCTCTGTCTCTGGGGGTGGTGGGGAGTAGGGGGTGGCAATGCAGCTGGGCAGCTGGCCCTGGGCGGCAAGGGCTGCGGGCTTTTGAGGCCGCTGCCGCAGGAGCCCACAGCAGAAGTCCCAGGTGGTCCGCTTGACAAAGCGCAGGCCCCGCTGGATGCGGGCCAGGGCCAGCTGGAGGTTGTTCATCTCTCTGTCCTCATCAGGGGCTGTGAGGTTGTCTGCACTGAAGGAGCTGAGCAGCAAGGCCAGGAAGAGATTCAGGACCTGTCGAGATAATGGGTCAGGCTCACCAAGGCACTGCGTCATGCCAAGCCTTCCAGTCCCAGTTCTATGATGGGGAAACTGAGGCCTAGAGACCTTTAAGACTGCCTGTGACAAACAGCTCCGAGGCTCGAATCCAGGGCCCTGAGCCCTCATCCTAACCCCTCATTTTCTTGAATATGGAAGGTTTGGCCATAAAAGAAAATACAAACTCGAATTCTTCTTTCCAAGGGCTCAGACACAGTCTGAATTGAGGATGTTGTGTCCTGGCTGAGGTTCATGGGAGAACTATGCGTGCATTCAGTGTCAAAGTGAAGGGCTAGCCCAGTCACACACACTGAGCCCTGTCTTGGCACCAGTGGCTTCTACACACAAGCCTTCTTCTCCCTTTTCCTCTTCCTGCTGCCTTACGAGTAGTGAGGGGCAGTGGGGTTAGGATGGGCACAGGTCTCCTTTCTGGGAAGTGTGAGTCCAGGGACAAGACAGAATCCCACTGAGAAGTCACCCAGAGCTTTTGGGACTTTGTTGGAAAGATGAGGAGCAGTGACCTGCCTCTGAGTTCCCCACTGAAGCCAGCTTGGTGCTCAGAGGCCTGGGGCTGCTGCTGTAGGGCATATGCCACCTGAGGCCCAGGTCTGCCACGCTTTCCAGGTGAGGGATGCTGGGACTGGGCAGAGAAAGGTGCAATGACTGGAAAAGAGGTCAGGAAGGCACACGCAGCCCTCAGGCACTTGGACTAACCATGGGGTCAGGCCACTGAGAGCTGACCGTATCTAGGCTGTGAGGGTAGGCTAGGAAGGGTAGTCTAGGCTAGGAAGGGTACTGTGTGAAGGTCAAGGCCTGCTATGCTGCAGGGAGCCAGGGGAGGGTGCAGTGTTGGAGGTTCCACAGGGTGCAGCATTTTATTGAGGTCTATCATCAGGGCTTAGGGACTTGAGACTTCTTAAGAGGGGTTGCATAACCCTCTGCCTTTGGATGGTTCTGGAGAATTGCTTGTCGTCAAGCCCTCCTACAAGACTGAAGCTTTAGCTTTTGTTTAAAAAGAAGGCCTTTGCTGTGTGACAAGGGGCTGGGCTTGTGTCCATTTCCCAGTCTCATGGAGGGTCAGTTAAGATGGCGGTGGGCTGATTCCCACATGCATGGGTCAGACTGGCCCATGGCTCACCAGGCCGCCAGGCCACCATGGGCTTGGTGTCTCCTCCCTCCCAGCGCCTTTATGGCAGCGTGGTGTGTGAGGATGGGTGCACAGTTCTGTTTGGAAATCTACTCTGAGACTCTGTTCTGGTTTCTCAAGAGCCTCTAAAACACGCCACTACCAGGGACTTCATCCCTATCAGCAGGCTGGGAATGAGAATTCTGACAAAAGCAGCCTCAGAAACATGCCTTTGGCTTAAAAGTAATACATATTCATGCGGACAGTACGGAAGGTGAAGAGGTAGGCTCTCCCATACTCTCTCTACGGAGAGATGATCACTTTTGACACCAGGCAGCCTTCTTTATCATTACTACGGGGTAGAGCATGTGATGCAATTCTGAGCTGCTCTCTACACTGACCTCTGGCCTGGCCCCTGGCCTTTGTCCACAAGGACCCAGGCATGGCTGCCTCTATTCCCAGGAAGAATGCCCACTGGATCCTTCCCCCACAGCCCTCACTCACACCAGGCCCTGCATCCTCCAACCTCCAGGAGTCCTGGGCCTAGGCTGGGAGTAGGGTGGGGGGGCGGAGGGTGAGTACCTAGGCAGCCATGCCCACCCACACAGGAGTCTAGGGCCCTCCTTGTCGCTGGCTTCAGAAGTTCAGCTTCTTCTAGTGCTTTCCCCGTCAATCGTGCTGCTGCTGCTCCCAGCCCTGCCTGATCATCACTTCCCATTTCAATGGCAATCTTGCTTCCTCCCACGCCCAGCAGAGGCCCAATTCCTCAGGCGGCCGGGGAGGGGGCTGTGTGGGCTGGCATTAGCTCCCTCCTCCAGCAGCCTCTAATTTTCTCATCCTCAGGCAGATCTGCTGGGAAATCGCAGGGCTCCGTGTGAGGGGTGGCTCAGCGTGGCCCTAGGCTGAGTGCTTGGCAACTCTCATTCTCCCTAGAATAGACAGCCTGGCAGGCCCTGGGGTTGGGATGGGCTGAGCAACCGTCCACCCCAAGGGATAGCTAGTTTGAGGGGACATAAGCGGGGGCTGGGGGCTAGCCAAACAGCAGGGTTCTAGTGGCATTGTGCACTGAGCCCTGGCTCCGCTCTCTCTGGGCTCCACATTCCTTTGGCCTCTGGGCTCATGGGCCGGCGGGGGAATGATCCCAAATTGGCTGGCCCTGTCCTGGCCTGGATAAGGCACATGGGAGAAGAAGTCAGACAGGTTTGGGGGAAGACTCTGGAATCTATAGCCGATAGTACTTGCCCCACAGCAGGCTGAAAAAGTGAATGTAAAACCTCTCTATGAGCTGATGTGACCGCACTGCCCACAACAGAGACATACAGCTATGGGTGGGAGCCAGACAACGCAGGTATGCTGCTTGAGCATGTGTGGGCCACCTGTGTACCCAGGAAGGTAGCTTCACATCCACAGTGGACACTGATTGCTGCCTGAACCAGACTGACCCCAACCTTGCCTCTTCCTAAGGCACCTTCTCTGGTATTTAAATTTTGACCTTTCTCAGTTCCAGAATTCCCCACATTGTAAAGACACAAGACAAGATGCACCTGCCCAAGGACAGACAGGTACCCACAGGAGCAACGGTGTGGGCCCCTCATGATGGGACAGCAGAGACTCCTACCACACTACTCAGGATGACATATAAAGCTCCTATGGGCCCCACCTTACCTGGACCACCACCTGTCTGCACCTGTGCTTTGCTCATCCTGCTCCTTCCCTCTTCAGCATTGCCTGTTTATCAGATCAGCTCCAAAATCCCTTCCAGGAAGCTTTCCTTGATTTTCCTAGCTGAGTGGGAACAGTACCCACGGTCTCCTCCTTAATGGCTCTGATCACTCTGACCAGTCTGAGAGTTATTTCAGGCCTGTTTGAACTCTCCACCTCCCCAGTCATCTCTCAAGCTGGTGAGTGATGTCAGGGCTAGCGCTAGACCTCATTTGCCTCTGTATGCCCAACAGCATGTGGCACAATGTTTTCCATGCAACAATGGCTTAGCAAATGTTTAAGATAAATTGAAAAACCATGTGATAATTCATTGATAGTGTGTGACAGTAAAACAATGGGTAGATGAACAGATAAGTAAATGAATGAAAACAAAATGAGTAAATAATGAATAATAGGTAAGTAAGTGGGTAAATGCATGAATGAGCAAAATGCAGTGAAGAGGCCAGGCACAGTGGCTCACACGTGTAATCCCAGCACTTTGGGAGGCCGAGGTAGGCGGATCACCTGAGGTCAGGAGTTTGAGACCAGCCTGGCCAACATGGTGAAACCCTGTCTCTACTAAAAATACAAAAAATTAGTCAGGTATGGAGGTGCATGCCTGTAATCCCAGCTACTTGGGAGGCTGAGGCAGGAGAATCACTTGAACCTGGGAGACAGAGGTTGTAGTGAGCCGAGATGATGCCATTGCACTCCAGCCTGGGCGACAAGAGTGAAACTCAGTCTCAAAAAAAAAAATGTGGTGAAGAGTGAGTGAATAGATGGATGGGTCAATGAGTGAGTAAGTAGACAACTGGATAGACAGATGAGTAGATAGATGGAATTGGTGAATGAGTGAATGGTGAGTTCATAGATGGGGGTGGATGAATGAGTAGAGGAGTGAATGGTTGGGTGAGTGGACAGATGGGTGATGGATGAAGGGAGGGATGGATGGTTGTGTAAGTGAATGGATGGGTGGATAGATGAATGGGCATATGGATGCGTAAGTGTGTGAATGGGGGTTGATGAATGGATGACTGATAAGCAGATTAGTGAACGGATGAGTGAATGAGCAAAAGGGGGTTGATGGATGAATGACAAGGTGAATGAGTGGATAAATGGATGGGTGGCTTGGTAACTAGGGAAGGATCTGCTGATCCTTCTGATTGCTGGAGTGCTGAATAGATGGATGGGTGGGTTTGTTGGTGGGTGGGTGATTGATAAGTGGATGATCAATAGGTAGACAGCTGTATAAGCATATAGGTGCAAGAATAAATGGGTACATTGAATAGATGGTTTGTTGATAAGTATATAGATGGATGAGTAAGTGAGTGCATGGCGGGTGGATGAAATAAATGAGTGAGTAGTTAGATGGAAATGTGGGTAAATGAATAGATGGATGGATGGATGGGTAGATGGAGTGATAGAAGGGTAAGTAAATGGATAATTGGATCGGTGGGTAGCTGGGTAGATGAGTGGATGGTGTGTGTGTGTGAGGCCCTTGGCCAACTTACCACAAGGTTGCCAATGACCATAACAAGCAAGAAGACCAGCAGGCACAATGACTGCCCAGACACCTCCATGCAGTCCCACATGGTCTCGATCCACTCTCCACAGAGGATGCGGAAGATGATGAGGAAGGCATGGAAGAAGTCCATCATGTGCCAGCGAGGCAGCAGGCCTGAGTCGCTGTCCCTCAGCTCTGAGTAGTTCTTGCCAAAGAGCTGCATGCCCACCACAGCAAAGATGAACACGATGATGGCTAGCACCAGCGTCAGGTTCCCCAGTGCCCCCACTGAGTTCCCGATGATCTTGATGAGTGTGTTCAGGGTGGGCCACGATTTGGCCAGCTTGAAGACCCGCAGCTGGGGAAGGAGGAAGAGCAGGGGACCTTGTGAGGGTCTCTGGCTCCTGCTGCCCACGGGCACCCTCACTCTCTCTAGCTCCTGCCTGAAAGTCCAGGGAGTCCTTGGAGGGCACTGACACCTATTTTTCCCCCCATTTTTCCCAGAGCACCCACTACTGTTTGTCTCCACAGCCTGAGGGCAGCTTCACTGGGCACTGCTCTGGCGCTCAGGTCAACAGCTCCAGCCTCACCTTCCCAGCTCAGCCCTTCTCTTCGTCCCCACACCAGCCTCCTCTCTGCCTTGGCCTCACTTCCAGGAACTGCCCACTACATTCTCTCAACAGGGAGTGTCCTTGCTCTTTCATACCTGTCCTCATCACGTATCCTTTAGGGCAGCTCAAACCATCTCTGAGTCGTCCAGTCACCTCTGCCTCTCAGTCATCACAGAGAAAGAGGGGAAGGTGCTTAACACTTACTGAATGTCTGCGTGCCAGGCCTTGTGCTTAGAATGGATGAACTCAGTCAGAACTCCCAATAACCACATGAGGTTGGCACTGGCATTACCTCATTTGACAGAAGAAGCTGCCAACCCTCACAGGTGGAGTAACTTAGGTCTAAGTCCCTTGGTTCATAGCAGTGGAGTCAGGACTAGAACCCACAGTCTTGGCTTTCCCTCCTGACCCCACCATCCTGCCTTCCTACACACTCCCCGCCGCTCCACACCCATCCACTGTATGTGCAGCAACCCACAGTGCTCAGGACCTCCTCCAGGAAGCCTTCCCTGACTACACCTCCCGCCCCATGTCTGGACCTCTCAAGCATTTCAAGCTCCAAGTGTGGTCCACAGACCAGCAGCTTTGACATCACCTGAGACTCACTGAATCAGCATATGCATTTTAACAAGATCCCCAGGTGATGTGTGTGTGCATTAATATTTTAAAGATGCTGATTCAGAAACCAGCAGGCAGAACCTCGGATGAGCAGTTAGCAGCCCAGCTCCCTCTGTTATCTGCCACGTAGCTGTGGGAAATTCGTGTCATCTCTCTGAGTCTCTTCATCTGTGAAATGGAAATGTAGTAATACCAGCCCCACTCCTGGATCCTGTGAGGGCTAAAGGGGTCACATTGGACCACAAAGGGCTTTGCAATTCATCAGGATGGCCACCACAATTGCTCCTCTGGAGAAATGTCTCCTGCCTTGCCTGCCTCTGTACCCCACCATCACCAGCACCG